CCCCCAAATGCTGACAACAGTACATGGCTGAGACTGTCTTTACTTCTGATTCTTCAGTCACCTCAGAGCGGGCTGCGTCTGAGATTGTCTTTGCAGAGGAAAGTATGCCGGGAAACAAACAGTTCTTAACATGTGAGCAACTTTAGTGTTCTTTTCCTGGGACATGCTTTATTTTTATTAAATACTTTTATTGGGGGCTCTTACATCTTTTATCACAATCCATACATTCATCCAATGTGTCAAGCACATGTGCACATATACCGCACCATCATTTTCAAAGCATTCTCTTCCCACTTGAGCCCCTGATATCAGCTCCCCATTTCTTCCCCCTCCCTCCCACACAAATCCTTGATAAGTAATAGATTATTATTTTCATCTCATGCTTTATTTTAAAACAAAAACAAAAACAAATGTGTTTTAGCTTTGTTGTTAAGACTGTACATGGGGACTTCAAAAAGTTTGTGGCAAAAATCCCTTAATCTTTTAATCCCATTTCCTCATGAGCCCTTTGAAGCCCCCTGCATGCAGAATGTTCATTGATTCAGCAATTCCCGCACCTGAAATTGGGTGACATCGGTGACGTTGAGTTGTGTAGCCTTGAGTTGTCCCCCGACACCCACGGACATAAACTCCCTGTCCCCTGAGCCTCCTCAGTCCATTTTCAAGTTGCTGCTGCCACTCCGATCCCCTGTCTGATCCCACTGGTCTCAGGAGAGGCAGTGCTGCAGGGACCCTCTTTACTGGGGAAGCTGAGGACTCCTTGGTGCTATGACTTCCGGGAATGTTTTGGTTTAAGATAGAGCCCCTGAGAATGTGGCATGCTGTTCTCCATTTTCTCCGTTTTGGTCAGAATTCTTCTCTAGATTCTTCGAATGTTCAGTCGTGGGGGAGAAACAACCCAAACCAAGCACTTCCAACTAGAAGTCAAGGGGAGCAGATGCTCAGGGCTTTACTCCTGATGGGGCACTTTTGACCTCGTTCCTATCCAGCCCTTGGTGACCCAGGCCACATGCTGTAGGCTATTGGGACTTAAGACTCTGTTCTTCCCAGGCACACAACATTCTTTCATAGGCCACCCCAAAAGGACTGGATGTGGAAACCCCACTAAGGGAACTGGGCCTTACCTCAAACTCACGTGTGGCCCTCGGACTTAGAAGAAGCAGAGAACTGAAACCCCAAGGTTATGGAATTGGCGGTCCTTGGATTTTGGTTCTGATCTCGGTGCCCAAAGAATGGTGACCCTGGACTATTGTACACTTACTATTTTAATGGCCTCCTTGCTTTATTATGACCTATAATAATCTGGTAGGCATGCCTGGCTTGACTTTGTAAATGAATGCTATAGAAAGTTTTGCCATATCTCCAACCCCCATTGTTTGTGAGAATAGTGTCCAGTCATGTTAGAGTGTAATCTGTACAGGTCAACATTCATGTACTGAGGTTCGTGGCTGCCCTATACCTGTATACTTTCCTTTTCTCAACAGTGTTTTAAATCCTGTACCATTGGCTAGATTAATGACACTGTTGATAGAGTGAACATTTGCCCCAGAGGGATGAATGATGGTGGTCTCTGACGTAAAATGACAATGATGTCTCTGAGGTGAACCAGCGACATTTACAAACCATAGATGCAGGAATGGATTTTGGGCTGGCACTCCATTCTAGCCCCACTCTAAGAACAATTCGTTCTTATGACATGGCCCTGTTTGATGCTCGCCCTCACCTAGAGATCGCTGACCATTGGCTGCTCTAGCAAAGTGTGGTGGAGAAACTAGATGGTGCCTGGCTATCAGAAAGAAAAGTGCCTGGGGTCTTAAAACGTGTCCTCAAACAAGCAGCCATCCAAGTGAGGTGTCAGCTAAGTCCACCTGGAAGAAGCACACCAGCCTGTGCGATCGAAGGATTATAAATAATAAAATCCTAATCTGAAGGAGGAAATGGTCTCAGAGCTTAAATCAGAGCCGGTTTGCAGAAGGCTAAGGACGACAGTGGAAGCCCAAAACCCATTTGCAGGATCCACATATGGATAGTCGAGGGATGGGAATAGCCTTGCTGTCAGACAGAGCATTCTAAAACTGGCGATAGCAACTGTCGTTAAGATGTCATATCATTTGCTCTCCTTTTTGACTCATTTTAGATTTGTCCTAGTTTTTAATATTTCTGCATTCTTTTCAGTTGAGGTTTTCCCCCCTCTTATGTTGTTATTGCCGTTGCTTTTTCTTTATTATTTGTGTGTTTTCCTGTATAGGACACCCGGGGTAGTAAATGTATAGAGACAGTAACTGGATGAATGGTTCCTTGTGGTCTGGCAGGGGAGGTTGGGGGAGATAGCAACCAGAACAAGAGAGAAAATGTCCTCACACTGGTGCTGGTGATTGTGCAACGCTTCCTAATGTGTGTGAACCAGTGAATTGTGTGATATCTGCACGATCTGCCAATGACGCTGTGTAAAAAGCTTTCAGCGTGGCAGCCGGGCACCATCCAGTCCTTCTGGTCTCATGGCCGAGGGCGGTGTGGAGAACCTGCTTCTCATCGAGGCCCTCCAGGCAGGTGTTGCACCTGACGAGAACCGTGTTTCCAGAACAGACTGGTTCCTGTTGCTGGAAGGCCTCTCACGTGCCCGTCCCGTCCCTGCAGGCACGCACCGGGGCTGGGCTGCCGTGCAGCTGCGTCTGCTCCACGAGCTCGTCTACGCCTCCCGGAGGATGGGGAACCCGGCCCTGTCCGTCCGGCACCTGTCCTTCCTCCTGCAGACCATGCTGGACTTCCTGTCGGACCAGGGTGAGTGCGCCGCGGGCTGCCCATGGTCTCCGCTGTCCTCTGTGCAGTCGGCCTGGAATTGCACTGGTCTTCCTGCTCCCCGCCCAGGTCAGCAGCCACCTGGCCAGGGCGGCAGCTTGGGGCTGGGGGGACTTTGCCCTTGGAGGTGAGAAAGGAGGAGAGCAGGCCCAGTCCTCAGAGCAGCTATCTCAGGCGGGCTGCCTACAATGCAGTGTTTCTGCCCCTCAATGCGTAGAGTGATCTCCCGGGGTGCTACCCCACCACCCCGGAACCAGCAGCTACAGAGAGGCCGCACTGGCCCCACGCCCAGCCTGAATGGAGGGCCCACATGCGGATGTAGCCTGTCCATGGACTCTGTCCCTCGCTGGGAAGAAAGGCTGATGGCTGGTGGCTGTAGAGTCCACCCGTGGATGTGGTCCATCCACTGGAATCTGTCCCTCACGGGGAGGAGAGGCTGACTGCAGGTTCAGCAAGAGCCCACCGTAATTACACTGCCTCCAGCCACTGTGCCCACTCCTCAGGGGTCTTCTTCACGCTGGCCTCCTGAAAAGCGCTGTTATCTTTCTTGAGCTGTTCTTCCCTCTGCCAGGGGTCTACCAGAAGTACTGGGGAAGACGAGAAATGTAAAATGTTTACTCGCCCTAAGCAGTCGTGGTCTGAGCGGGTTCTCCCCATGGCAGTGTCCTTAGATGCCGTCGAGTTTGTCTGACTCACAGAGAGCCGTCTACACCAGGGTGAAACACTGCCCGGCCCTGCGCCGTCCGCACACCATCGCTGCACCGGAGCCCCTGTGCAGCCCCTGTGCCAGTCCATCTGCTGGAGGGTCTTCTGCTGGGTCGCTGACCCTCCTCCGTATAGTCCTGACATCAAGGCCTGACCGAACTCAAACTGGACGAAGTCAGGTTTCAGATCAGGCAGCCGATGGCGAAGGAAGCTGTGGCTAGGGTAATGACGGACCCACGGGATGGAATCAGCACATGGTGGACTTGCCTTTGTTTTCCTTAGAAAACAGGAAGTTGCGTTTTGCTTTTGCCAAATCGGCAGTGTAAGTCTTGGCCCTTCTCCTGCAAGAGGGACGGACAAGTGACTGATGGACGCCTGGCTTTGTGAGACAGAGACTCGTTTCCCTGTGAACGGCGGCCAGTGTCTGGCCGGTTATCTGAGGCCGTATTAATTAGTGGTTTCGCAACACTGAGTTGAGCAGGAGGCGAACTGGGACATTTGGACAGATAGCCGGCTCCCTAATGACCTATGCGTGATGGCATTTGGTTAATTGGCATCTTTGGAGAAAAGGACAGGAGTCAGGTCTGAAAGGTCCCTTCCACCACTCTCAACCCGTAATTACCATCACCTTAGATCAATAATTAAATCCTCCCTGGCTCCCTGTTTTCTCATTTGTGCAATTGAGACGTGGCAGATTCCGTGGTGCAGCTTACGATGATTACTTTCACGACATTAAAAACGGGCTGGTGACCTTTCTCCTGCAGAGCGCCCGGTGCCCCTCGTGGGGTTGGTAATTAACATTTTCGAAGATGGCAGCATTAAAATGAAATAGTCGAAGTGTCGTGACAGGGCCTTCAGGACCCCCCCCTCCAGCCTGGGGAGTGGGGGCGGGGTGGGGGCTGGGTATTTTGCAGTTGAAGACCATGCCACATGGGCGTTTCTTGACCTCCCCTCCCCTTTCTGTCCTGTGGAAACCTGAGTGACCCCATAAGAGAATTCCGTCCCATTTGGAGCTATGTTCACCAAAAGCCTCAGCACCCCCCTGCCTCTGACTCTGGTCACTGTTCCGCCGCAGCGTCCAAGGACCCCCTTGAGGGCTAATGGGGTTCTCCTTGGGCCCGCGATGCTGTTGCCTTTCCACGAT